TGTGAGACCTCCAGTTCTACTTCCCCAATCATTCCTTCTCAGACTCCTTTTATAGGTTCCTTTTCTCTACTTTGAATAAGGCCATTCTTCAGTTCCCTACTAAAGCCAAGTTCTCTACTAAGGCTACTCCTCTCCTGGCTCTATATATTTCCCAAGTGGTCTTATCCATCTCCATGGTTTAATTACCATCTTTATGCTGAAGACTCTCAAATCTGTATCTCTCTCCTCTCTCCATATCTGCATATATGACTAATGGACATCTCCTGGTATACGTACCACAGACACTTAAACCTCAAAACAAGACAAAAGCTGAATTGTTAGCTTCTCCTGTGTCCCTTCTTCAGTTCACATCCACTTCCTTCTTCAGTGTTCTGATCTCAGTGAAAAACACTACCATTCAATCAGTTATTTAAACTCAAAACCTAAAAATTAACCTCCATTCCTCAGTTTCCTTCAAACCCTGTATCCAGTCAACCACCAAGTCTGGCATTCAACAACAAATGACAAATTAGGCACTTAGTATAATAATAAATCTGGAGGTAGGTGGTTTTAAGGTTGGCTTAGCAGCTTCACAGTGCCAGAGCACTGAATTGGCATCTCTTTGTCTTTTTTTTTTAAACAAATAAATGATTTTTTAATGTTTATTTATTTATCTTGAGAGAGAGAGATAGAGAACGAGCAGTGGAGGGGCAGAGAGAGATGGAGACAGAGAATGCCAAGCAGGCTCAGCACTGTCAGCACAGAGCCTGATGCAGGGCTCAAACCACAAACTGTGAGATCATGACCTGAGCCAAAAACAAGAGTTAGATGCTTAACCAACTGAGCCACCTCTCTGATTGTCTTTATATTAAGACCCTGAAAGTCTTAAATTGGCTGCAGGCATTACACCTTCATAGGACATTTCCAAAAACAGAAAGCAAAGGGAAGACCAGAAAAAAAAAAGGGCTTTTCTCAAGGGTGCAATCTCTTTTGATCAGGGGGAAAACTATAGTTGGGGCACAGGGGTGCAAGAGCACCTGGCTCTGGGAGTCCCAAACAGATAAGGTTCAACTACTCGCCACTGACAAAACCCAAAGACAGAGAAACGAGTGGTGGTGAAAGAAGAAAGGAATTTACCTCATTGAGGGCAACACTGGGAAGACAACAGCAGACCAACATCTCAAAGACTGTCTCCAAAGTGTTGAAAATACTTCCAGATATATATAAGGAAAATGTGGAGCAAAGGTTGGTGGGTACATGCGGGTAGGCAATGAAGGTTAAACCGATCATTGTCTTAGGGTCAGTCACCAGGGGTCCTGCTGGCTCAGGGCAGTCCTTATTGCTCAAAGGGGTAGTTTTGGTTCCCATGGGGGATGCTTTGCCCGCAGGGTCTTTTGCCTGAGTTAAGAGATAAGTTTGACGGGCACCTGGCAGCTCAGTCCATAGAGCCTGCGACTTGATCTCAGGATTGTAAATTTGAACCCCATGTTGGGTATAGAGATCACTTAAAAAATAAAATCTTAAAAAAAGAGAGAGACACCAAAACCCATAAAATACCTAGGAATAAATCTAACCAAAGAGGTGAAAAATCTATACACTGAAAACTATAGAAAGCTTATGAAAGAAATTGAAGACACACACACAAAAAAAGGAAAAATATTCCATGCACCTGGATAGGAAGAACAAATATTGTTAAAATGTCAATACTACCCAAAGCAATCTACATATTCAATGCAATCCCTATCGAAATAACACCAGCATTCTTCACAGAGCTAGAACAAATAATCCTAAAATCTGTATGGAACCAGAAAAGACCCTGAATAGCCAAAGCAATCTTGAAAAAGAAAACCAAAGTAGAAGGCATCATAGTCCCAGACTTCAAGCTGTACTACAAAGCTGTAATCATCAAGACAGTGTGGTACTGGCACAAAAACAGACACTCAGATCAATGGAACAGAATAGAAAACCCCAGAAATGGACCCACAAACATATGGCCAACTAATCTTTGACAAAGCAGGAAAGAATATCCAATGGAATAAAGACAGTCTCTTCAGCAAGTGGTGCTGGGAAAACTGGACAGCGACATGCAGAATGAACCTGGACCACTTTCTTACACCATACACAAAAATAAACTCAAAATGGATGAAAGACCTAAATGTAAGACAGGAAGCCATCAAAATCCTCAAGGAGAAAGCAGGCAAAAACCTCTTTGGCCTTGGCCACAGCAACTTCTTACTCAACATGTCTCTGGAGGCAAGGGAAACAAAAGCAAAAATGAACCATTGGGACCTCATCAAAATAAAAAGCTTCTGCACAGTGAAGGAAACAATCAGGAAAGGAAAGAATCAGGAAGGAAAACTAAAAGGCAACTGACAGAATGGGAGAAGATATTTGCAAACGATATATCAGATAAAGGGTTAGTATCCAAAATCTATAAAGAACTTATCAAACTCAACACCCAAAAAACAAATAATCCAGTGAAGAAATGGGCAAAAGACATGGACACTTCTCCAAAGAAGACATCTAGATGGCCAACCGATACATGAAAAAATGCTCAACATCACTCATCATCAGGGAAATACAAATCAAAACCACAAATGAGATACCACCTCACACCTGTCAGAATGGCTAAATTAGCTACTCAGGCAACAATAGATGTTGGCGAGAATGCAGAGAAAGAGGATCTCTTTTGCACTGCTGATGGGAATGCAAGCTGGTACAGCCACTCTGGAAAACGGTATGGAGGTTCCTCAAAACATTAAAAATAGAACTACCCTATGACCCAGGAATTGCACTACTAAGTATTTATCCAAGGGATACAGGTATGCTGTTTCAAAGGGACACATGCACCCCAATGTTTATAGCAGCACTATCAACAATAGCCAAAGTATGGGAAGAGCCCAATGTCCATCGATGGATGGATGGATAAAGAAAATGTGGTATGTATATACAATGGAGTATTACTCGGCAATCAAAAAGAATTAAATCTTGCCACTTGCCACTACACAGATGGAACTAGAGGGTATTATGCTAAGTGAAATTAATCAGAGAAAGACAAATATCATATGACTTCACTCATATGAGGACTTTAAGACACAGAACAGATGGCAGGGATGGAAGGGAAGCAAAACAGATGGAAGGGAAGCAAAAATAATATAGAAACAGGGAGGGGGACAAAACATAAGAGACTCCTAAATATGGAGAACAAACAGAGGGTTACTGGAGGGGTTGTAGGAGGGGAGATGGGCTAAATGGGTAAGGGGCATTAAGGAATATACTCCTGAAATTATTGTTGCACTATATGCTAACTAATTTGGATATAAATTCAAAAAATAAAATTAGAAAAAAAAAAGAGAGAGAGGTTTGGAAAAAAGAATTTAATCAATTAGAAAGTACAGACTGAGGGTTGGGGATACCTGGGTAGCTCAGTCAGGTAAGCATCCAGCTCTTGATTTTGGTTCAGTTCATGATCTCACTGTTTGTATGAGTGATCTGCGAGTCGGGCTCTTTGCTGACAGCACGGACCCTGCTTGGGATTCTCTCTCTTTCCCTCTCTCTCTGCCCCTCCCCGACTTGTGTGTGCACTCTCTCTCCCTCTCTCTTAAAATAAATAAATAAACTTTTAAAGATCTTCCTGTTTAAAAAAAAAAAAAAATTACAGACTGAGGTCAAAATGGAGGTAGTTGAAGTGTTCTTTCAAAACCATTCAGAAATACCCTAGCCAACTTCCCTTTATGTTCCATTGGCCAGAACTGGGGTCCAATCATAAGGAGACTGAAAAAGCAAGTAAACAACTGGTAAAAGGAAATAGGGTTCCCTTGATTTGTCCCCTGGGATGGAGCACATAAATATCCTTTAAAAAGAGACAGCATGGGGGCGCCTGGGTGGCTTAGTCAGTTAAGCGTCGGACTTCAGCTTAGATCATGATCTCGTGGTTCGTGGATTCAAGCCCCATATCAGGCTCTGTGCTGACAGCTCAGAGCCTGGAGCCTGCTTCACATTCTGTGTCCTCTCTCTCTCTGCTCCTCCCTTGCTTGCGCTCTCTCTCTCAAAAGTAAATAAACATTAAAAAATAAGAAGAAGAGGGGTGCCTGGATGGCTGAGTAGGTTAGGCATCCGACTTCAGCTCGGGTCATGATCTCACCATCTGTGAGTTTGGGCCCTGCATCGGGCTCTGTGCTGACAGCTCAGAGCCTGGAGCCTGTTTCAGATTGTCTCCCTCTCTCTCTGCCCCTCCCCCGCTCATGCTCTGTCTCTGAAAAATGAATAAACCTTAAAAAAAATTTAATAATAAGAAGAAGAAAATAAAAAGAGAGAGAGGTTATCTTGGCAAAGAAGGATGGAAGAAGGTGGTTTTTAGAGGGGCAACAAAGATTGGCTTCCACACAAACAGACATGGAGTTTGCATGCAATTAGGGGGAAATTTTAAACAGGTAAATAAACATACAAACAAGATAATTTCAGATTCTATAAATGCTATGAAATAAGGGAATGTGATAATAAGTGATGGGAATATTATGGAAAATAAAACTGATAGAATTTACTAATGGGTTTGAATATGACAATATGAGAAAAAGATGATTCAAACTAATACTGATTCTCATTCATAAATGAAACTGGAGAAAGATAATTAAGGATCTAAAGTCATACTACCATTAACTGACAAAATTAAAATTGTGTATAGAACTATCTGAATCCAAAACCCATTTTCTTTCCCCTATACCATGGCGGGTGGGGGAGAGGGCAGGGAGAGAACACAAAATAGTATATGTAAATTTATAGCACTGTGATAAGTAAGAATAAAGGCTAAATGTTTGAAAATAGTTGATGCTTGGTAAGTTATTGCTACTTATTTTTGTCTTTCACTGTAGAGCTGGTTAAAGGAACAAAATATAAAGTGAACTGTTGTGTCTAAACCACAATATGGAACTATCAAAAATGTTCTGACTGCATAGAACAGTTAAAACAGTAGCAAACGGCCACAATATAAAGTAGCAAAGATGGGAGTGGCTCAAATAGCAACACAACATTTCCATTACATCAAAAACTCAAAGCAAATTGGTACAAGCCCTGAAACAGTCCAACAAAAGAAAGATCTATAATATAATCAGTTAAAATGTTAAGACAGTGGATAATACTGTTTATATCCCAGCAATAGATAACTACTATTTAGTTGCTAAATATATACAAAGTATATACATCTATATATAATACAAGTAAATAAACCTATGTAAGTTTAATATGGGTACAAAAGAAAAACAAATGTCAGCTTTTCCTTTCAGGTACTAAAGAGGTAGCAAAATATACTTAGCATTATTCAATATTTTTCTGGCATAAAGATACCAGATTAGATAATATTTAAAAGTCCTTTTTGGCTCTAAATTACTCTCTAAAAACCAAGGTATCATCAGGGACCTAAAAAAACCCCTCAAATACTTCCTCATTCACAACAGGGGAATTCACAGAAACAAGGCTAGCAAAGCTAATGATTTTAGGAAGGCATCTAGGGAAACATAGGCCCATAGGAGCAAATCTCTGCAGTGAAAGCTCTAAGGTTCTGCAGAGAGCTAGGAGAAGGGAGGTGCCTGCTTCCAAATGGCTTTCATCCAGAGCAGACAGCAAAATGGAGTTAAGCAGGGTGGTTCCCTAACATTCATTCTTCTGGGCCAAGCAAACTAATCATTTTCCATCTCCTTTAAGAATAAGTGAGACAATATTTAAATATATTCCTGTCCCTGGTAACCCAGTTTGGAAAATGTGTGTAAATTTGGATCTTGAGTTGAAAACCTTTTAACAGGATTACAAAAAATATATATTTATTAGAAATAAAAGAAAACCTCCTTGTTTGTATTCCAGGTTCATAGAAGTGGAGGTATTATATATATATTTATAAAACTAGAAATATATATGAAATCAGAAACATATACACACACATATATGTCTCATTACAAACTACACACACATATTAATAGTGTAAATTTGTTATTTGATATGAAGGGTAAAGGCTTTACCAAATCTGAGTAAAGTAATAACTGAATTTGAGCTATGATTTGTTACTGTTTTATGTTTACTTTTTGTTACTAACATATCACTGCAAGGATATCTTGAATAGTGTAACAGCAATAGGTTTCTGCTAGAGCCATTTTAAAGCCACACTTTATCCTAACTAACCACTTTATGCATTTACAAGGGTTAGCAATATATAGTTTATGGTCTTGTAATAGATTCTCCTGAAAGGCACGGGCGAGGTCTGGGGGGGGGGGGGGGGGGGAGCGCTATTATCTGGGCCTCCAAGCAGTGCACCATAACCAACTGATCTATCTTGACATAACAGAAAGTATTTATTATTATATAGAGTTTTACAAAGCTCTAAATATAACACAAGGATTCCCTACTTCCTAATATCCTTCGGTGTCAAACAATTTCCTCTCTACCCAAATTTCTGTCCTCACTACTCCCATTCAGCTACCAAATGTGAAATGTACCTTTGTGGGGTTTTTCTGTTGTTGTTGTTGTTGTTGTTGTTGTTGTTGTTGTTGTTTAAGATTTTATTTTTAAGAATCTCTACACCCAACTTGGGGCTCAAACTCACCACCCCGAGATCTGGAGTCACAGGCTCTAGCGACTGAGCTAGTCAGGTGCCTGTGAAATGTATCTTTGAATATCCTCCCATTTTAAAAGCCCCTAAGACTGTTCCATAAAGTTGTTGGTTTAGGTCTAAAAATGGGGCCTAGTAAGTCCTTTTAACAGCCTCGATGTTCATTGCTTCGGTACTACTTTTTGAATGACTGAAATACTTTTGCTTCCAACGTCTTGCACCTTACTTTAACGAACAAGTCATTACAATAAACCAAATAAAACTAGTCTGTTTTCTAAACCTTGCATCCTCCACATTACCAGGTAAGTAAAGAATGCACTGCCTGCCTTTAAAGGAACTGAGAAAAGAAAAAGGCAAAACTCACTGACAGATTGTGGCAACATGAAAATAATCAGCTGAGCTAGCCGGACCAGAAGTTTCTGCATTTCATGGTGCTTCATCTTTAAAACTGTATGGACTTCTTAAGTCTTAGGGTTCGTCCATATTAAGGCAAGCCTCCTTTCCCGTTCCCACGTTGGCTGGTTTCGGAACCTGCGCCCGCCGCCGCCCCCCGCCCAGGCCCTGGCAGCCATGCGCCAAAGACTGCAGCACCCGAGCTCGCTGTCCGCAGGCGCGGCGGACCCCGCCCAGCAGGCCCGGAGCGGGGAGGGGGCTCCGGTCCAAGAAGCCCGCCTCTGCGGCGGCCGAGCCGGGCGCCGAGTGGGCGCGACGGGCCGGGGGAGGGGCCCGCGGCAGTGGCACCGCCTGTGCCCGCCCGCCCCTCCCCGAACCTCTACTTAAGTGGCTCCGGCACCGCCCCCGCTTCAGTGCGTTACTTACCTCGACTCTTAGCTTGTCGGGGACGGTAACCAGGACCCGGTGTCTGCTCCTGTCGCCTACGCCTGCTAACCCTTAGCCACCATGGTGAGTGGACCACTCGCGGCGCCGCCCTCGCTCTGGAAAAACGGGAAAAGCCAGCCAGGCGGTCTCGGACGGCCTTTTAGCCAGAGATCAGCGAAAAGCGAGGCGAGGGTGGGAGTAGTGAGAACGGCTGGGGCATGGAAGGGGGGGCGCATTTTCTTCTCTGTCTTTGGGAGGGGATGGCGGAGCCCCAGCTCCCCAGACCGTGGTTGGGGCTCTCAATTAGCCCTTAACTCCGGGGTGCGGTGACCCGAGACCCTACAGTCCTTTCCCGCGCGTTCCCATCCCCCCTTCCTTCCCCGGCTTTGGCGGGAGCGCGCGCGGGCCCTCCACGCCCTCACTTCCTCCTTAGCGAGAAGAGCGGAGGCGGGAAGGAGCCGGAATACAAAAGCGCACGCGCGACCGTTAGCTTCCCGCCAGGGAGCGGCGGGAGACCGCCCCTGCAGTCTGCGCGTGCGCGCTGGGGCCCTGCGCGTCCGCCACCGTAGGGCGTGTCGTCTGTTAGCCTGAATTTTTTTTTGTTTTTAACGAAAGAAAAGCTACATGTGGAGAATCCTCCGTGTCAGTGTGCTGCAGTACGCCAGCGTACTAGGATAATTTGCTCCCAACAGCTTCTAGACTCCATCTGTCCCTTGACCTATGTTAGGAATGCGTGTAGGAGCAGCTGGTGGCGGTGAGGGATTATGAGAGAATGGAAATCGGATCTTGGTCCAGATCTGGGCTGCTGATAATCCCCTGCTGCGCCCTGACTGATGTGGGGGTGCTAGGCTAAGCCTAGCGCCTGGGGGAGCAGAAGATGGTTGGCCGAGGTAGCACCTCAGCAGACGTGGCCGCTGCGTGTGTCTGCAGCTGCGCGGTCCCGCTGGCCGCAGGCGGGCGCGGGCGCGCGCGCACACACCCTGAATTGCTCATTCATCCTGTGCCGCAAAACCCCGCCCTTTGTCCCTGTGGCCAGACATTTCCTCTGCACTGTTCTGGCCACGTGCTTCCTGTGATGGTAGCTGCCCGGAAATCTGGCCGCCTAGTCTAAAATGGAATAATGAAGCCTGAGCACTGGATGAATGGCCTCCCCCCTATCTTGGTGCTCCAAAGGAGAAAGCTGTGACTAAGCTTTCTTGGTCTGGAAGGAGGCCTTCCCAATTTACAGGGTGAAAAGAAATACATTAAAAGCAATGCCGATTAAAAAGTAGTGATTCTCTCCTAGAGAAGATGTTACATTTTAACTAGTTTTAGAAGGGGAAATTTGTAAGATTGATTAAGTTATTTTGTTCTGCTTCACAGTCAACTACTAGATTAGTTTAATGCTGTTTTTGTTTTTTTTTTTAAACCTACTTTTCCACAGCGTGAGTGCATCTCCATCCACGTTGGCCAGGCTGGTGTTCAGATCGGCAATGCCTGCTGGGAGCTCTATTGCCTGGAACACGGCATCCAGCCCGATGGCCAGATGCCAAGTGACAAGACCATTGGGGGAGGAGATGACTCCTTCAACACCTTCTTCAGTGAGACGGGCGCTGGCAAGCATGTGCCCAGGGCAGTGTTTGTAGACCTGGAACCCACAGTCATTGGTGAGTTGGCCTCAGTAGTAACCCAAGGGAGATCTCAGGGCTCTTGAGACAGGAGGTCTGTCGTGAGGGCTCCATTGACACCCTGGGGTGGAGCAGGCGTGTGCAGGTGGTGGGTGACGGGTGGCTGCTTTGTTTTTCTCTTCCAGATGAAGTTCGCACTGGCACCTACCGCCAGCTCTTCCATCCTGAGCAGCTCATCACGGGCAAGGAAGATGCTGCCAATAACTATGCCCGAGGGCACTACACCATCGGCAAGGAGATCATCGACCTTGTCTTGGACCGAATTCGGAAACTGGTATGTTTGTTCTCCAGAATAAAGTAAATAATGACCCTAAGGAAGACATTTGAAATACGACCTTTTCTTTTCAAACACAGAATAGAAATATAATGGAGTGAGGACAACTGGTAAATTATTCCTTGATAGGGTTTTTAAATTTTCAACTGCAACATGAATTATTTGGTGTCATTTTATAAACGTCAATGAAGATGTTTTAAGTGAAGAAATGCTTTGTAATTCTGGGAAGGTCTATTATAATCTGTCTTCTCTGTTCCTTTTTTCTCACAGGCCGACCAGTGCACGGGTCTTCAGGGCTTCTTGGTTTTCCACAGCTTTGGAGGGGGAACTGGTTCCGGGTTCACCTCCCTGCTGATGGAACGTCTCTCTGTCGATTATGGCAAGAAGTCCAAGCTGGAGTTCTCCATTTACCCAGCCCCCCAGGTTTCCACTGCTGTCGTTGAGCCCTACAACTCCATCCTCACTACCCACACCACCCTGGAGCACTCTGATTGTGCCTTCATGGTAGACAACGAGGCCATCTATGACATCTGTCGTAGAAACCTCGATATCGAACGCCCAACCTACACTAACCTTAACCGCCTTATTAGCCAGATTGTGTCTTCCATCACTGCTTCCCTCAGATTTGATGGAGCCCTGAATGTGGACCTGACAGAATTCCAGACCAACCTGGTGCCCTATCCCCGCATCCACTTCCCTCTGGCCACATATGCCCCTGTCATCTCTGCTGAGAAAGCCTACCATGAACAGCTTTCTGTAGCAGAGATCACCAATGCGTGCTTTGAGCCAGCCAACCAGATGGTGAAATGTGACCCTCGCCATGGTAAATACATGGCTTGCTGCCTGTTGTACCGTGGTGATGTGGTTCCCAAAGATGTCAATGCTGCCATTGCCACCATCAAGACCAAGCGCAGCATCCAGTTTGTGGACTGGTGCCCCACTGGCTTCAAAGTTGGCATTAATTACCAGCCTCCCACTGTGGTACCTGGTGGAGACCTGGCCAAAGTACAGCGAGCTGTGTGCATGCTGAGCAACACCACAGCCATTGCTGAGGCCTGGGCTCGCCTGGACCACAAGTTTGACCTGATGTATGCCAAGCGTGCCTTTGTTCACTGGTATGTGGGTGAGGGCATGGAGGAAGGAGAGTTTTCTGAGGCCCGTGAGGACATGGCTGCCCTTGAGAAGGATTATGAGGAAGTTGGTGTGGATTCTGTTGAGGGAGAGGGTGAAGAGGAAGGAGAGGAATACTAATTACCATTCCTTTCAACCCTGCAGCATGTCACACTCAGAACTTAAGCTTCAACATTAGCTGACAGGCATTAAAGCTTCTGGTTAGATTGTCTTCACTTTTAACTGTGACCATGTCTTACTTTTCCATGTGTACCTGTCAGATTTTTGCATCATGTCACAAAGTAAAGGCTTTATGAAAGGAAGTTTTTCTGTGCTTCTTAATTGCTTTCTCCAATTCAAGATGTACTACCACTCATCTACATCTGGAAGATAGTCTGCAACAGGGTTGTAATACCAAGGATCCCACTTTCTGTATAGCTGCCTGTATGGGGAAAAGAGCACACTGGACTAGAAAAGCAGGAGAGCTAGATTTTGACACTGATGTGTTAATACCACCTCAGTTTCAGAATGCAGGTCAAAGGGGGTTTAGGAAAAATAACCCTTGTACAACAAAATGGCTGGCTAGATGAACATTTGACCACAAGGAGGTGAAAGCTGTTTCTAGCCCTATCGGGAGGGAGGAGTGACAGGATCAGAATTACTGGTGATAAAAATCCTACCATAGGGGAAAACCAAATGAGGCATGGGTATAGGAAAAACAAAGCTATGGATGTTTGCAAGAGCAGTGCTTTAGGAGACGGTGAAGTGGCAACATTGTACAGGTTAGGATAGGGTTAATAATTTACAGTACTTGGTGTAGCATACATTTTTTCTTAAGTTTATTTGCGGGGGGGGGGGGCAGGAGTGGAGGGGCAGGGACAGGAGAGAGTCCTAAGTAGGCTCAGCAGAGCCCCACACAGCTTTAACTCAAAAACAGATCATGCCTTGAGCCAAATTCAAGACTCCAATACAACCAACTGAGCTACCCAAGTGCCCCAACATACTGTACATTCTTTCAGGTATATAGTTTGGCTGCATTTAAATGACTATGGAGAAGACAGGCAAACAGGATGCAGATAGACGGTTTAGAGAAAACGTACATTTGAAATTCAGGAAGTATAGGGGCTATTAAGGTTGGCTGGAGATGTTGATCCTTGGTTTAAAGAGTAGGGAATACCAAAATTTTTCCATTTTTTTCCCTACAAATTTACAAAATAGTTCTCTACTCCTGAAAGAAATGATCTGATTTGTCACATATTTCTGAGAGAAAGCTCTCTTGGGTGGCACTGTAGACTGATAACACAATTGCAGCCACCACAGGTCTCGGGAAGGCAAATGCCAGGGCCTTAAAGTACCATGAGGAACCCTAAACTGAATTAGTGACCAAATGGGGATTGAAGGTTTTGAGTTAGTGCTGAACTCACAAAGAAAGTCGGTTATGTGAGCCATCTGAAGACCCTCTGAAATATCCCTCTCTGTTCTTTTCTGCAAAACAAGAAGGAAAAGTAGCTAGGCCAGAGCCTGGGAAACAACAACAAATCAATGTGGAGAAGAGTTTGCTCTTCAGGAAGACGGCCTGGATGGCCTAAAATCAGGGAAGTAAGCACACGTTCCATAGAGCGTGTGCAGTGGTGCCTTTTCAGAGACCTGAGGCACAAGGCAGGGACAGGATAAAGCCAGAGTTTCAACTGCATCTGTTCTATTTTGAATGGGTTTTGTGTGTGTGTTGGAGGTGGGGGGTTTATATTTTTAAGAAAATTAAAAATCTAGGAGCCTGGGTGGCTCAGTCAGTTAGGCATCCAACTCTTGACTGGCTCATGTCAGGATCTCCTGGTTTCATGAGTTTGAGCCCCACGTCAGGCTCTGTGCTAACAGCATGGGCCTGCTTAGGATTCTCTCTCTCCCTCTCTCTCTCTGCCACTCTCCCATTCACCCTGTCTCTGTCTCAAAATAAATAAAAAAACAAAAAAATTTGATTAAAAATGTTAAAAAAGAAAATTAAAAATCTGTAATAAATAAACCAAATGCTAAGATGACAAGCTGGTAGTAGGTATGTAGTTGTTTGCAATTTTATCTATTGCCACATAACAAATTGCCCCAAAACTTTGTGGTTTAAAATAATATATGTGTATTACTTCAGGAAGTTTCTGAGGGTCAGGAATTCGGTGGTGGTTTAGCTGGCATAATTCTGTCTCTGGATTTCTCATGTAAGGTTGTAGTCAAGATGTTGACTGAGGCTGCAGTTCCCTGAATGCTTCATTGGGACTGGAAGATTTACTTTCCAAGGTGGTTCACCTGCCCATCTTGCAAGTTGGTGCTGGTTGTTGGCAGGTGGCCTTAGTTCTTTCACCAGATGGACCTCTCTTCAATAGGGCTGCTTGAGTGTCTTTAGGACATGGGAACAGGCTTCCCCCAGAATGGGTGATCCAAGAGAGGACAAGTTGGAAACTGCAGTGTTAGGACTTAACCTTGCAACTCACACTCTCATTTCTACAATATCCTATTTGTTACATGTCAGTCCTGTTCAGTGGGGGAGAAAACTGCACATTGACAAGAGAGAAAAATCAGTGGGAGTTACATACAAACCCCTAAATCTTAACGTTTCTATAGTATAGAACAATACCACTTATATTATCCTTTTTTTCCCTGTATGCTTGATATATTTGATTTTTTAAAAGGGAGGAAGCTTGGGGTGCCTGGCTGCTTTAGTTGGAGGAGCATGTGACTCCTGATCTCAGGGTTGTGAGTTCAAGCCCCGTGTTAGGTGTAGACATCACTTAAAAATAAAATGTTGGGGCATTTGGGTGGCTCAGTTAAGTGTCTGACTCTTGATATCAGCTCAGGTCTTGATCTCAGGAACAAGCCCCACATTGGGCTCCATGCTCAGCATTGAGCCTGCTTAAGATTCTCTCCCATCCTCTCCTGCCCTTCCCCCACTCTCGTGTGCACTCTCTCTCAAAAAAAATTTTTTTAATAAGGAATAATAATTGGAACACCTGGGTGGCTGAGTCGGTTAAGCTTCTGACTTCAGCTCAGGTCATGATCTCACAGTTTGTGAGTTTGAGCCCCTTGGTGGACTCTGCACTGCCAGCACGGAGCCTGCTTCAGATTCTCTCTCTCTCTCTCTCTCTCTCTCTCTCTCTCTCTCTCTGTCTGTCTCAAAAATAAACATTTTCAAAAGAAAATTTAAATTTTTTTTTAAATTTTAAAATAAATAAATAAAAAGGAGGAAATCTCTAGAGAGATTTTCCATTTTCTACAGTTCAAGCTCAAAAATTTTTTGTTGTCTTAATTTAAGCTATCCTTTAGAATAAACACCTCCTATCTACATTCCTCCTGGACTATCTAATCCTCTCTATACTCTAATTATGTCGTTACTGATCCAACTGGCTGCTTGAGTTCAGTATTCCCTCTGTCCCTTCTGTTCCCAATCATCTTATATGTCGAAATGATGATTAGTAGTTACAAGTACTCAAAACCTTTGGTGACATGAAGTACCAAGTGGGAGACTGGGGGAGGGAGGCAGGGGGGATGCCTATAATGAAATGCCAAGGCAGCCAGGAAATGCCATCAAGTATTCCTTTGGGGGGCACTGGGGTCTGATTATCTATATCTCTGCCCTGGCAGCAAGCACAATGCCTGGCCATGATTATGGCCCATGGAATGCTCTAATGGAAGTAAAAAGACTGTTTATTTCCCCCCTAGGACAGATTCTTTATTATTCTATTCAATATCAACATTAAACCCAAGGGGTTTGTAAAATGTATTCATTCTGTTTCCAGGCCCAGGTCTCTTTAAGCATCTCCTGAGGAGTTGAGTTTCAGGGTAGAAAGGACTGGGAAACAGACTGAGACACTTGACTTTTTGTTCTGTCATTAGTCAGGGTCTCTTAACCTTCTAGGCCTATTTTCCCTTTTGCACTACAGATTCCCATTCTTCCTTTCTCAGAAGAGGGTGGTGAATAGTACAATCACATCTGGAAGGACTTGAAGTTTAGAGATATGCATCTAAGCTTAGGAGATGAGGGGCAAGGTACCCAGGACTTGACAGCTCAACTCAGTGAGATGCCAAAGCCACTGGCAAAGGAAAATGAGCAATCTATTTAGAAAAGGAAGAGACATAAGTAAAACCCAAGAAGGGTTTACTTAGAGATGGTAAGGATGATGATGATGATAACAATAATCATAATGATCATTCACCTTAACTACATGAAGACTTTCAATTTATACCCACCCACCTTTTTTTTAAACACCAGCATGCTTAAATACCTTCACAACGCAGTATCCTTAGCCACTTTGAGGTGACCTTAAAATGAGAGGAGCCCAGTGCCTCATTTTCCTTTTTCTTTTTTTTTTTTTCTTTTTCCAAATAACAGATATCATTGGCAGAGAAGGGAAGTGATATCAGCCCTCTGATCAGCCTGGCCTGGTAGGACCAGAGGCCTTAAATTGCCTGCCAAAACATCAGAAGGAATAGGAGTCTTTCAGCCCTATTGTACCTTTCAGATTAAGAGACTTGAATGAGAGAGAAGAGAAAAGGGCATTTTCCCTTTCCAATCCAACAAATTCCTGGCAAATTCCTGAATGCCCTGCAGATGGCACCACTGACAACAAGTTCTCTGCCCAGAAGAGCTGAGCTCACATTTGTGAACTCTGCCCTGTCACCTTGGACCTGAGCATAAAAGATACGTAATAAACAGGAAGTGACTGACTTGGCATCCCTGGCTTGTCATTTTTTGTTCTGTTGCTTCCTAGAGGCAGCTGGGCCTCGTGCTAGCCATTATGAATCAGGCAGCCACAGGATTTAGGAACTCCCATACCCCAGCTCTTAACTTCAGTTCCTGCCTCGAGGGTACTCTCCAGGGTTGGATAGATATAAAAACATGGTTTTGGGGTCAACATGTAGTAAGGGAGACTGCCAGATCAATCTGAACTGATTACTGACACAAAGTCAATAACTACCTGATGATATAGAAATTATCATGTAGATACTGATCATTGTGTTGTGAGGCCCAGCTACTGCCTCCCTGCCATCTGGTCCATAAACCAAAATAAATGTCTTTCCCCACCCATCCCTCAGCTGACCAACCCATGTCCCAAGTGACAGCTTGCTATATGTTACTATGTCCTACTGTGATGGAATCAGGCTCATTGTCTCATTCCTGCCTGGGACCTTCACTCTTCCCTCTACCTATCATAACTTTTCCAACCATAACTGCCCCCACCTCTTTGTCTAGTTAACTCATACTCTTCCTTTGATGATGGAAACTTAAGTGTTACCTCTTCAAGGACTTAAAGATTAGGTCAGGGTAGGTCAGATTTCCCATTATACATCTGAATAGAACCTTCTACTTTTCTCTTAAAGCATTGATCACATTTTGGAATTATATACTTATTTGTGTGATTATTTAATTAGTATATTTTTCCCCTATCAGATTTTATAAGCTCTACATCTGTTGTGCTTACCACTATATTGCTAGTATCTAGCTTGGTGCTTAGTGCATGAATGGCACTCAACAAATATTTCAAGAATTAATTTGGGGCAAGAACAAAGATTCAAATTTTTAACTCTGAAAGCTAGAGATGACTGTCCCTCCACTGCCTTCCGTCCCCACCTCCCCCTTTCCCAGGCCCAAAGATGCCTCTGGAAGACACCACTGTAGATAGTGACATTAAATGGAGGTGGAAGGGAAAGCTGTTCTAAAGACTCTTCGTAAATAGATCTCTTAACTCCCTCTGGCCCAGCTCGAGTGTCTTATGATACTAGCATGCAGGAGCTTCTACTCGCTCACACTGACCAAATTAACGTGTGCCAGGGGCCAAAGTGTGACCCAGCTGTCAAAACGGGCTGGTGTCACCTTAGATATTCCATCTATACATCAGTATGCAAAACTAGGCAGGGGAGCATTCCCACCATCCTCTTCACTGGTTACCCTGCTATGCAAACTGTTTGTCCAGTACTGGGAACCTCAAAGAGGATACAGACAGGCAAGAAAGTTCCCTCTAAGAGGTGAGTGGAATGCTAAGGAGTCTTGGGTAGAGTTCAGAGAACTGAGAATGTTTAGATTAGAAAAGAGAAACCCAATGAAGATCTGCTGTCCAGAAATGGCAACAGCCTTATTCCTCAAAACCCCAGAGGGCACTGCAAAGGATGGGGGAAAATATTGCAGCTTACTTTCTAATAATTAGTTAGGACCAACAATGAGCCACTATGTCATCCATGTTGTGAATGGCAAACAGGGAGAAAGAACTAAAGATTTCTAAGATCTCTTTCCATTCCCAGAATCCAGGATTTCACAAAGTTTCCTGCTATCTCTAAGCCAATCTTTCATTATGACTGTTTTCTCAAATATTTTTGGAGAGGTCAGAGATGAGTAGGGACAAAGGAACAGAATCTCTCAAAACATGTTTCTTAAACTCTTCCTCTAATGCCTGCCAACAAGTTCTCAGACCAGTGAGGACTTACCTAAAAGGAACCTCTGGTTTTCTGGCTTCCCTGGTACCTTAGCTAGGAGGGCAGTTCCAAAGCTGCTAGTCCATTTCTAGGAGCTGGTGCAATTTCCATCAGAGAAAGGAGGAGGTTTACAGCCTTAGCTTGGGCTGTTATAACAAATACCATAGACTATATGGCTTAACAAACTTTTATTTTTCATAGTTCTGGAGGCTGGGAAGTCTAAGAATTGGTGTCTGGTGAGGGCACCCTCCCTGGCTTGCCTACTTGCTATGTCCTCACAGGTCAGAGAGAGAAAGCTCTAGTCTCTTTCTCTTCTTATAAGGACACTAATTACATCAAGGGAGCTGTATTTCATTTACACATAATTACCTCTCAAAGGCCCCACCTCCTAATACCATGACATCAGTGGATTAGGGTCTAACAAAAGAATTTTTTTTGAGGTAAAATTGACTAACATTAATTTGGGACATGTAAAAACAAAATTCATGCAAAATATCATAGTCTATAGCGTTTTCACCTCAGAGCTGGATGAAATCTTCCTGAAGTCCCAGGAAGTCCTGGGCATAAAATCACCCTGAAGGTAGCAAGATTTTTTTCTGTACTTACTGTGTTCTTTCTGGGAAAATTAGGACATACAGGTAAGCAAAGAGAAAATGAAGATCACTCATAACGTGGAAAGTTTCTTGTTTAAAGAAAAGGGTAGCTTTTCCAAATTCCCCTCTCTGTCTCTCTCCTGCCCCAGTCACCTTGGGGAGCGGATGTCTCTGGTCTTCTGTCTGTGCCTCTCAAGATGCAGCTCAGCAATAAGTCTTCATCATTTGGAAGGTCAAAGGTGGCCTCAGATGTCGGCGGGGGGCACTTCCCAGGGTTCTTGAGGGTACTGAAATTCAAGTTTCAGCTTTTTAAAAAAAAATTTTCAAACATTTATTCATTTTTGAAAGAGAGACAGAGCACAAATGGGGGAGGGCTAGAGAGAGAGGGAGACACAGACTCTGAAGCAGGCTCCCATCTCTGAGCTGTCAGCACAGAGCCTGAGGCAGGGCTCGAACTCACAGACCACGAGATCATGACCTGAGCCAAAGTTGGCTGCTTAACTGACTGAGCCACCCAGGCACCCCTCAAGTTTTAGCTTTCTATTACACTGAATATCTAAGCAGTATAGTAATGAAGAGACTACAGAAGTGGGGGGTATATCCACAAAGAGGCAACAGCAGAACATCCGGAAAAAGGGAAGCTTTGGAATCAGACAGGCTGAGTTCAAACCCTAGCCCAACCCTTACTATATTTGGCCCTTGTACAAGTTAATCTCTTTAAACTGATTCCTCATCCATAAAAGAATAAAGTCTATTTTTTAGGGTCCTTTTGTCACTGAATAATCTATGAAAAGTATCTATTAGGGGCGCCTGGGTGGCTCAGTCGGTTAAGCGGCCGACTTTGGCTTGGGTCATGATCTCGCGGTCCGTGAGTTCGAGCCCCGCGTCGGGCTCTGTGCTGACAGCTCAGAGCCTGGAGCCTGTTTCCGATTCTGTGTCTCCCTCTCTCTGACCCTCCCCCGTTCATGCTCTGTCTCTCTCTGTCTCAAAAATAAATAAACGTTAAAAAAATTAAAAAAAAGTATCTATTAATGTTTAGCACTTAGTGGAAGCTCAATGTGTATTAGTTCTCTTCCTTGTTATGCTTGAAGAAGTTGAAATTAACTCTCCATAATTAGTTACCCCTTCTCTACTAAGAATGGGTAACTAATCTCATAGGCAGATCAAATCCATTAACACTGAGTGTTTACTATGAGAACTGCACTGAGGTTGGACAGAAAAGGATGCATCAGAAGCCAAATACAGGTTTCCAACTGTTTCCTTCCAACTTGAAGGAAAGAGGAAAGGAGAAAAAATATAAATGCAGGTAAATTTAAACAATACAAAAGATTTAAATAATAGCTCAAGATAATGTTATAGTGCATATATGCCTAATTGTTCACTGAACTAGATAGCTGAAATGATACAGACAAAAATCCCTTCAGGAAAGAATGGGAAAAAAGACATTACATTATTGGCAAGTTGAGCCTTGGAAGTAGATAGGATTTGGACAAAGTGAGATTTGGTAAGTTTAAAAAGATATTAGGGAGTGTCTTTTTGCATAGTTTTCTGAGTGGTAACTCAGTAATCTTGGAATCTCTTGCCAATTCTAAATATAGGCAGTGAAAAGACAGTTATTGGCTTCCAATGGATTTGTAAACAAGGGCTCAAAGACTTGTGAGCAAATAAATCAGATTTCCCCTGGGCTTGAAACCACTTTCTCTAGGAAGTATTCTAGATTCTCTCTATTCTGAGCTTGTCTTCTACCATGCAGTTCCAAGTTGATATGTTTATTGATATTTTGCCTTTTAAAGTTCACTTCAGTTGTACATATCTGTACATTCTAGAAGGTGATAAATCTCTAAGCAGAATCTATGTCAACCAGCTGTTGTAAGAATCAGATTTAATAGTCTGTGGCTTGGGTGATGTCACAGCACATTGTAAACTGCAAAGGACGTTGAACATTAGATTTTTAGATTTAGAAGCAATCTGAAGGGTGTTCTAGTTTTGCAAATGAGATTAAATATAGTCCAGGATGACAGTGCTAGAACTAGAACCCAGGACTTCTGATTATTAGCAATGCCTGCCATCTTTTCTCACTACATTTGTTAATATTTGAATGTCTGCATGTATTAGGTACCTGGCTAAGGGCTAAGGAAATAACTACATTCAAGACAAATGATTCTTCCCCTTTACAAGCCTATATGGAGGACAGGACAAACAAATGCAAACAAATCAAGCTATGACCATTTGTTATAAATAATATGACAAAATTAGTTTGCTTTAGATAACTTAGTGAGGGAAGACTCCTCTGGACAATTATCATTTAAGCTCAAACCTGAGATTTAAATCAGCCAGAACTGAATAGGGAAGGAGGAGGGGAAGAGGAGAGCCATCTGGGCAGAGGCAACATCAAATACAGAGCCCTAAGGAAGAAAAGAGCTTGACAATGTCCACCAGGAGTTGACCAAAGGCTGGGGTTAAGATGGTACCAAGTTGAAGCAGTAGAGAGGGGTTAGCTCATAGGTTACAACCTCAAATGCACAGCTGGGCTGACAATGTAAGTGGAAACACTGGTGAGGTGTTAGCGCTTCCCCAGTGATAAAGACTGTGAAAGACCAGAGCACATCCTGCCCCATCTATAGGGTCATATGTCCTTGTTGCCCAGTTCTGCCAGATCTTCTATTTAAGAGACAGAAATCTAAATTCTTAAGGTGTCCTGATTTTTATAGGTTTGTTCAAATTTGTTTAAAAAAAAAAACACTGGAAGCCAAACAAAACACAATATGGTTATCCCCAAAACACACTCAATAGCCCAAGCCATCTCCTTGTGCTCACTTTTCCTCCCTTGCAGCAGATCCCAGGACCCAACCAGCGATCTTCATCTCTTTGTAACTACCCCCTCTTCCCACTGATGTTCTCTCCACCCTAAGCTTAGTTGCTAAGAGGGAAATCAACTCCTTAGCTCCTCTCATTATCTTGCTGTCACCAAAGACATGTGTGTGTGTGTGTGTGTGTGTATACACACATATATATTTGGTATGTGCACATATATACAAGTACATTAATTTTATTTCCCAAGATCCTACTGCAAATCACTGGGCAAACAAAGAAGGGACAAAAATGACTTGCTCCAGAGAAGTTAACCAGGGTACAGAATTCAGCTGTTAATTCTGGCCCCTGACTTTTGCTCAGATAGTAACTGGATGCAGTCTAGGCCGTTACAATCGGGCTCTTTTTCTTCAGTGGGGGGTTTTGCAAAACTCAACCCTTCTTTTGAGTTTCCCTTCTCCAATTTAGAGGACGAGTTCAACTCCATGAAGGTGGAACTTCCCAAACAGTGCATATTCCAAGGTGGCAGGAAGAGAACTGGCATTCCTTAATTGTGTGACCTAGGGCACGTGACAACTTCTCACCGTTTTCTAATCTCTAAAGTGCTAATCACACCGTCCTCTGAGGGGCTGTTGTGATGTAAAAATGAGATAGAAGTCTGTAAGGTGAGTGGCACATAGTAGGTGGTCAGCTAACATTTGACTCAGTCCCATTAAGCAATGACCCCGTGGGCATTTCCTCACAAAGTTTCAGAAGATATTTCTGTGGTTCTCTATGCAGTTTTCTTCACTATTTGCTCCAGCACACACTAGGCCTCCCACAAAAGTTACTGAGTGAAAACTCCTGGCTGCGGAGGGGCCCCACCCCAACATAAACACCTTTTCCGAAAATGCTGCTACAGGCCTTGGCTTACTGGGCTGCGGTACCTTTCAGAACCCCCATGGCGCTCTCCCATCCTGCCTGGCTGGCCTGGTCCAAATGGGTCATTTAACCACGGTCAAATTAAAATCTTGGTTGCTCTGGCAGTGCGAGAAGAGACCTCCCTAAACAGCAGGAGCTGAAGGAGACAGTTGTTTAGTTTTAGAACTGGCACTGTTAGGGCCCCAAAGATCCCGCCTCTTTCCACGGGGCGAGCCTATCAGCGTTCCTTTGGCGATGAGCGGCAGCTCCTTAGGAGCCAATGAACTCAGCTCGCTGGAAGAAACTGCCCACCCCTTGTGTCGTCAGTTGGTCTCCAGTAAGATAGAACCAGCACCTGCGCTTCCTCGTAGCAGGCTTGTTGGCGGGTGTTTGCGTTAAAGTTAACTGAGGCCGGACCTTAAAGGGGAGGGAGGAGAGGGGGCCAGGGCCCTTTAAAACCAGGCGCCTGGTGCCTGCCCCTTTAAGGCGTCCGGACGACTGAATCTGAGCTCCAGATTATCCCGAGTTTCCGTCGCAGGCTGCAAGGAAAGGCTACTTGGCTGGGTCCGGGTGCGTGGCGGCGGCGGCTTCATCCCCGCTCGTCCTCCCCGGGCCCGGAGACACCCCCGCCCCAGTCATGCTGAGCAGAGTATGGAAGCAGCTGACTACGAAGTGCTATCCGTGCGAGAGCAGCTGTTCCACGAGAGGGTTCGCGAGTGCATTGTGAGTACGGGACCCGGGCAGGAAGGGTAGGACCAAGAGGGGGAGAAGCACGGGTGTCGCGGGAGAGGGAGAAGTTCGGGTTGGAGTGCGACCACCTAGGCTCAGAGCCAGGTCCAGGGACGAGCCACCAAGGGCCCCGGCCTGACAGAAGGAAGGACTGGTGCTCCGGCTGGTGAACCCCCAGATCGGATCAGTAGGGTAGCTGCGCGGTAAACAAAGCCGCGGGTCGGTTTCCGTTCCTCCCCTCTACACGCCCCTCCCCCCGCCCGCCCTCCTGCCTCCCCCCACCCCTGCTGGGGTTCAGGGCGTGGGCCTGCGAGGCTAGTGAGTTTTATCTTCGTAGTCGGATAGTCTGAGAGGGATGGCTTTAATTGAGGGAGGGCTTGTTTGCACTACCCGCAAACTCCACTGATGTTTCACGAAAAGGGGGACGTCCAAACGCTGAACTAGATTCCAAGAAAAACTTGGGAGGTGTAGGGGTGGCATGTCAGAGGAACGGGGGACTTTGATGGGTCTCCCACTTCGGAAGAAAGGATTCTTGCTGGGAGGGATTCTGTGTAGAGATGGAGAACAATTAAGTTTTTCCCTTCTTTTCCTTCTCATTGGTGTTTGTTAGAAACCCCCACAAGCGTAGGTTCCTAGCTCCCCGGCCACGCCGGGATTTCCCCTGTGAATGTCCCTCTCCCTCCCCAGTGCTCCAGAGAGCCGCAGGCTGCGTTCCCTACTACCTCACTGCCACCTAGAGCAACAGCTGAACCTGCCACACTGTGATGGACGCCTCACTCCTGGGCCCCAGGGGAGACCGGTGGCACTTAGGGAGCTGCATCTTCCTCAGGCCTGCTTTCAATTCTCATCCCGCCTCTATCTCCTTCCTCAGACTTCCCGAGAGTAGCCCTCACCCCCAGATACTAAATAGAAAGCAAAAAGGGAAGGTCTGGAAGAACAGAAGCCTTAATGAGAAGGGAGACCCACTGATGGGGTCATCCTTTATTTTTCACAATCTGCCCTGGGCAGCCTCAGACTGGAGGAGAGGTAAAGTGAGCCATGACATAACTAGGTCTGCTCTTATCTGTGAGGACTGAAAAATAGGGAATGTATCAGTCCACGTGTGGAACTCCAGATCAGCTTTCCTTGGGTGATCCTTAGTGGATAGTCCCACGTGGTGAGGTTGGGCATATTGTGGAGACACGCCAGGCCTTGAAACAGTGTAGGGATAGAGGCCCACATTCCTAGAGAATGGGGAGGGATGAGACCTTGGACAGAGAAGCAGCCTGCTAAATATCTCCCCCACTCTTTAGTACTGTTAGCTGAGGACATCAGTGCTGGCCAAGGGCAGCCTGAAGGCTTCTCGTGCCTCCCCCACCTGGCTCCCATGCACTGCTCTAGAGAATGACCTAGCTTCTGCTGGAACTGCGTGGAACTCCAGCCTGACCTTTTGAGCCCTCCCACCTTCCTGGCTGTTACGCAAGCCCAAGGGCAGAGAGAGCACTAGGCAGTAGAAATCTTCAGTACAATCGGAGTAACTCATTCTACTCAGCTTCCCTAATATTAAAAGCTAAAATTTTGTTCTAGATCCATTGTTCTTGGGTCTCTTTGACTTCTTCCTTCCTTGTATAGATCACTGTATGCAGATTCCCTGTAGGGTCAGCTCCTCTTGGGAACTGGAGGGCCCACAAGACTGATCCTGCTTTCTTTGCTTACTTTAAATGCAATTAACATCTCATGGTGCCTGGTTGGCTCAGTGGGAAGAATGTGTAGCTCTTTTTGTTTTTAAGTTTATTTATTTATTTTGCGAGAGACAGAGACAGTGCAAGTGGGGGAGGGGCAGACAGAGAGGGGGAGAGAGAGAGAGAGAGAGAGAGAGAGAGAGAGAGAGAGAGAATCCCAAGCAGGCTTCTCACTGCCAGCGCATAGCCCCATGTGGGGCTTGAACCCACAAGGCCATGAGCTCATGACCTGAGCCAAAAGCAAGATTCAGAGGCTTAATTGGCTGAGCCATCCAGATGCCCCAGAAGAGTGTGTAACTCTTAATCTCGGAGTTATGAGTTCAAGCCCCACATTGGGTGTAGAGATTACTTAAATTAATTTTTAAAAATGCAATAACATCTCTTCTCAAGACTCTAGCACTGATTGCAGAGCCAAGCTGATCAGTGGCTCCTTCCCCGGACAGCAGCAGATTACTTGGGGTACGGTAGGGACGCATGTATGTGCAGAGTTACCTGGCCAAGTCCTGCCATAACTGGTGATTGGAGGGCCAGTTGCCCAAGGGCACTGAGAGGCCTGGCTCCGGAGCTGGAAGTCACTTGAAGTAGGGACCAGGAATTAACAGCCTTTAAAGGGGCTGATGTGAGCCCTGGGTGTTGTATGTAATCAATGAACCACAGGAATCTACCCCAAAAACCAAGAGCACACTTTACACACTGTATGTTAGCCAATTTGACAATAAATTATATTATAAATAAATAAATACATACATACATAGGAAAAAAATAAAATGATTATAAAAGAAAAAATAAGTAAAAAATCAAAATCAAAAAAACAAAGGGGAGGGCAATGTGGTTCTAGAAATGTAGATTTTAGATGTTGGGCCTCAACTAAGGTCTATTCTGAGGGACAGGGGATTAAATGAGGCTCTAGTTTAGCCCAAAGCAGATCTGATCTTTCAGGGCCCCTGAATAAACACAGAGTAGAAATTCTGAAGTAGTCTAGGAACATGATTCCTACTTATTCTCTCCCGGAATTTGGGCCAAAGTGGCAGCAGGGGAAGGGGAAGAGGGAGGAAGAGTGAAGGATCAGGACAATGCAGGCATCCCCTTCTTCCCTGAAACCTGCTATTCTTTCCAGTAATGTACTAGGAGTAAATTCCCTCTGGTTCTGTGGCCCATTTCAGGCATGTGTATACGTGGATCTCTAGGAGTTTTCTCTGCCCATTTACCAACCAGGGTTCAGCTGAAGCTATTTTCTCCCAGACAGACCTTCATAGGGCTGGATGTAGTACTGTCCCCCCGTCCCCTTTCTGGTGCTTCTTAGAGGCCCCTGGGGCCCTGACCAGAAGAAAGTACTGGGGAGAAAAATGGAACCCCGGGAAGCATGGTGCCTTGTTTTGGGAAAGTGACTCCATAGAATTAACAGGCCGCAGGGGCTGTGGAATATGCTGGGGATTAGAGTTTCTCATCCCAGCTCACACTCTGCCACAGATCTCAACACTTCTGTTTGCGACACTCTACATCCTCTGCCACATCGCCCTGACCCACTTCAAGAAGCCTGCTGAGTTCACCACAGGTACGTGACTTTCCTCCCTCCTGCCTGTCCTCTGCCAGGGATCCTGTTGCCATGGGGCCAGCCTCAGGGGAATGGGCCTATGGTGCCTGCTGGGAAAGGAGAGTCAACTGTTTCGGAGCCTTTGCCTGTTCTGCTTCCCTTCCACAGGCAGGGGCAAGGTGGTATAGTGGAAAGTCTAGACAGAAGGGTCTGCAACTGATAAAGCCACTGGGCAAGTCATGTAACTTTTCTGACATTCAGTTCCATCCCCTACAAAACAGGTCTGATAGTCTCTAACCAGCTCATTGACATTGTGTGGACCAAATTAGATGGTTAATATGAAAGCCCTCTGTGAACCTAAAATGGATATTATGGCGAGTGTTACCATGGGTACAAGCTGTTCTCTCTACTAGTGCATCCACACCCAGTAACAGAGACCTGCTGACCACTGGGACCCCAGGACCTGGTGAAGGTGGACTTTCTCTTTATAGAGAGCCTAAGTGTGCTCAGATTGGAGCTTTCCTTCCCGTAGGCATTGTGCGATTTGGGTGACACACTTGCCCCAGTTCCCTCCACCTGCCTGTCCGGATCATCCTGTCCCGGCCCTAGCCTTTCCTTCCCTCCAGAAGGCTTCATGAGCCCCCACCCTAGAAGACAGTTACTCCTCAGTGTAATGCTCCTGAGGGCTTTCTCTGTGACTCTCCCCTCCCCCTCCCCTGTTTTCCCTTTGCTTAATCCAGCCACTGATGTAACCAGCCTTACAGACCAGTTGTTTCTTACGTGTTCAGCTTGCAAAGAGGAACCTGCAATGAGAGATTGTGGGGAGGGAGGGAAGTGAGAGAATTTCTGGCCTGTACTCTCTCTGCCTGGGACCACAGATCTTAAAGCTGCCACCTTGGCCAGAGAATAGGTTGTGGGTTCATAGTGTGGACTCTCCCAGAGCCTCCTGTCCAGCTCTGCCTCTGGGTAGGGAGGGGGTGGCAGGGCCCACTGCAGCACAGATGGTTCCCAGAGCTGCCCACTGATGTCCTACCTCTTCCCCCTGGCCCCCCCCCCCCCCCCCGTCTCTCGTAGTGGATGATGAAGATGCCACAGTCAACAAGATTGCGTAAGTGTTGCTGCCTCAGCACCTGGCACCAGGAACCTTTAGAAGCTGGGA